AAAGTCACAGAATTTGCGTCAAACCTCTTGCGGATCAAGTGCTTCGATCCATTGGAGAGCCAGACGTCCGCCATAATTGTGGACAACCCGTGCGAACCAATACTTGTGAGGCTCGAACTCGTGGGACACCTCCACGACCGCCGTGTCGGCGATGAATATGTCGGATAAGTTGGTGAACCCGTATTTGGTGAAGAGATTCAATTTGACACAATTGGCTACTGATGTCTGATTCTTCGAGAAGTATTTGACGGTTACGTCCACTATATTCTTGGTCTCGAGCTTCAGGTTCAGCGGCGGCTCGATCTTGAAGTCGCGTTTGTCTCGATAATAGCCGACCGGAAATATCTTACGGTTCTTGAGGTCGAACCAGAAGTCTGGCTCCGCCTCCGCGCCCTCCCATTTGAGGGACAGGAGCTGTCCGAAGGCGCCGACAACTGTGGCCAACCAGTACTTCTGTGGCGAGTGCTCGATCTCCACTAACATACCGGTGCTGAACACGTTGTCCAGAGTCACCTCAATCTGATGGACAGTTACAGCGAAATGCAAATCAATTTCTTTTATATTTTAATAATGCATTTGAAAGTTAAGCACAAAAAAGACTTTTTTCATGAAAAATAAATAAGAGTTGTGTCCAGTTATGCATGATTTATGAGCATTACTACACAAATCACATGAATTCAAAGTGTTCAAGGTATCGGAAGGCAAGGGATGTATAAATATCGATACTGTACTCATTATTTAATGTAATCAAGTTCAGTTTATTGTCAATTTTTTTGTTTAACAAAAGGGATCGGGAGGTTTGGGAGTGCATTGCAATTAATTAATATTAAAATAATTCTAAAACATAATTTAGAAATTGACATATATTTTATATTTTATATTTTGTAACTTGAGATCCATTTCCCTATCGATTAACTCCCGACCCCTATGTCTGAAGTAAAATGTCAGCAAAAATTGGGTTAATTTGCAACAAAAAGTGTTTTGAAAATAAATGCAATGAATAGAAGAAAGCGAGAAAGCCTTCAAAACATAGCTATCCTATCATTGAATGTAATATCTGGTTATATGAGACTCTCTCTCTCTCTCTCGCTCTCTCTCGCTCTCTCTCTCTCTCTCGCTCTCTCTCTCTCTCTCTCTCTCTCCATTCAGTGATGAATTTTCCTTCAAATATAGAGCTCTTTAAATGCTATTGTTGCCATTTGGACACCAATTGCGGCAAAAGAATTGTCTCAAATGAGACTGAGTTTGTCAATGATTTGTATCCCAACCCCACCACCAGTTCTAATGTTTGCCAATTACAAATTGACAAACAAGATAATATTTGTCAAATAAGACTCGGTTTGTTTGATAATTAACTAATAAATTGGAAATAATTTAAAATATAAAACAATTTGCATTAGAATTCATAGAATTTACTTTGTCTGAGCCGGACATACACGGCAAGTGTACCACAGATGCCCTCATCATTAAGACTGCGATTGGAGAACAGATACCTATTATTTGTGGAGAGAATAGTGGACAGCACTGTAAGCATTGATTAAAATGTTAACATAACATATTTCTTAAATTATAAAACAATAAAAAAAATTATTTTTAGTATATTTAGAAAGTGGAAACAATTTAACCAGAAAACCCATTAAACTCTCAATTGTCACAAACGGCGATAAATTGATGAGAAAGTGGAGAATAAGAGTTATAATGATTAGTTGTGATAGTATGCAAAGTGCACCCAATGGTTGCATTCAGTACTTCACACATACCACTGGTATTGTTCGCAGTTTTAACTATGGAAATGAGGTTTACATACAGAATATTCTTACGATTAAAACATAACAAAATATTCGCTTAGATTTCAGGGATGAGTCGATACATGTCTGACACGAGTTATACGGTTTGCGTTCGGGTCGAAGAAAATTATTGTTGGATTCAATGGCAGCCAGAATATGAGGACACCTTTTCGTGGGGAACACCACTCATACCATCGGATGAGACTACCGGTCCATTGGGCGGTATCTGCGACGCCGACGACTTTGTGGCCATTAGTGATGGTGTGAGAGATGATAAGTCTCCCGAAGACGATCGCATTTGTGGCAATCGATTCTCAAATTATAATTATATTATTTGTGAGTAATGTTTGGATTTAGTTATAAATCACTCAATGATTGTTTGTTTGAATGTTACAAATCAAAGCCAACACTAAACCATTTGTGCTGAGAGTCCGATCCAATGGAAATCATGCGCTAAACACACAGAACTCGCAAAAAGGTATTCATTTGATTCGTATATTTGTATAAAAAATAGTAATTCATATTAAATTTGTTTTTATTTAGGCTTCTCCTTAGTATTCACTCAAATAGCATGCAATGAATTAATATATTAAAGAATATTCCAAGAACTCACAAATGACCTTGCACACTGCCCTATACTGTCAAAGTAGTTAATGATTAGTAAATTACAGAAATCCAGTATTATTGATATAAGTTTACTTTTCAGATATATTACTTTATAAATGCTATACAAATGATTGTAATAACTAATTAAATGATAAATCATTATAAATGTCATTGAATATAATGATTAATGAACTTTTCAATAGAAAACTTCTATGAATTATAATGAAAAGTCAACTTATAATGAATGTAACGTTCAATAGATGACAGAAGTAGTGCTGCTTTTTAACAAAACATCTTTAATTTTAATCCAAATACTCATCACTTATTTATTTGTAAAATATTTTCAGCTAATATTATAATTTATTGCTATTTAATTTTAATCGCAAATCAATGTATTTATTATAAAAATAATATAAATAAAAAATTTCGTATTAAAACAAACACGGAAACAACGGTTTACTCTCAAATGAACAGTAATGTGCATATAGTTGACAAATAAATGGCGTACCTTTTATGAGTACGTAGTGACAAGTGTTTGCCGTAAGTGTGTTGTGACAAAAGGTGCCAAAAGGTTGCGCGAAAACAGTTTGGCCTCAAAATACACTGTATTGACTGAATGAGTGAAACAGACAATTAAAGTGAGATATATTTTGACAGACTTTTGCGAAACGCTATTAAAACCCCTTTTAAATTGATTGCATTTTTGTCCCATTATTTTCATTCAGTTATCATTAATTTTTTCACAAATCTCTTAATAAGTGTAAAGTTTTTTTTGGATGCATTCATTTGTGCCAATCATATGCCCATTGAATGTGTTTATTGTGTAAAGCAATCGTGAAAATCAAATTGAGTTTTAATTTTTGTGTTTCGCGTTATAATTAGTAAACATTTTTTTTGCCATCATTTGGTTTGTCTCTCAAACCAATGCATGAATTGTGAATATTTTATAGACATTCATACGATCAGTATTTCTGTGTTACCATTGCTTACCATTCACTTCACAACTCGTATTACTGTTACAATTGATGCCATAATTCATACAATTCTTATGTCTTATGCTTCACATCGCTATTCAGTCCATGAATTCATATGACTTTACATGTATTTATAGTTTTTTTGTGAACAAAATCACTGTTTAAAGCATTTATTCATTTTAATGCGAGTTTTATCATTGAAAACAATCAGAAAAAATTGTTTTTATTAAGTTTTTGTGCGAAAAATATTCACAATAATTAATATAAATATCTTTTTGTGTGAAATATCTGTAAATTGATAAAAATATTTCATTTTTGGTGTCTTTTCTGAAATTGTTTGATGTGTTGATGACTTGATGTGTGAATGTATAGCAAAAGCATATAATATATGACAACAGCTATGAGTGACACGAAACTCATGGTCACCACCACTGGTGACACCGATGTGTTGGTGACCGACAAATGCGATGATAATAGCGATCATAACGAAGACATGGATGACGAGGAAGAGGAGGACTATGAGACCGTCAGTGACAGCGCCTTTTGGCACGTAAGACACCATTCATTATCACCCATTAGTTACTGACCATCACTTCCAATACCATTCATACCTTTCACACTATTTGCTCCCATTATCTCTCTCATCATAAATCTCTGGTTTTGTTTTTTTTGCGATTTGTTTTAATGTTTTATTTATTTTGTCATTTTTATTATCTATTTAATTGCCTTATAATTGGCAACAGATTTATACCAAACAATATATTTTTCCTATTGATTTGATACATTTATATAGCCCACTATGAAATGACCCCCTTTTTAGTGTGCCCTCATCTCTCTCTCTCTCTCTCTCTCTCTCTCTCTCTCTCTCCACTTTTGTCTTTTAGTCAATATTTTAATTTTATACAATAATAAATAAATAATATACAGTATTTATAAGTTGATTGTTTCCATAAAACCATTTTTACTTCAAAATGTGTTTTGTTTTTAGTTTTAAAGAGCTCTATATTTGAAGGAAAATTCATCACTGAATGGAGAGAGAGAGAGAGAGGGAGAGAGCGAGAGAGAGAGAGAGAGAGAGAGTCTCATATAACCAGATATTACATTCAATGATAGGATAGCTATGTTTTGAAGGCTTTCTCGCTTTCTTCTAATTCGTTGCATTTATTTTCAAAACACTTTTTAGTTGCAAATTAACCCAATTTTTGCTGACATTTTACTTCAGACATAGGGGTCGGGAGTTAATCGATAGGGAAATGGATCTCAAGTTACAAAATATAAAATATATGTCAATTTCTAAATTATGTTTTAGAATTATTTTAATATTAATTAATTGCAATATACTCCCAAACCTCCCGATCCTTTTTGTTAAACAAACAAGAATCAACAATAAACTGAACTTTATTACATTAAATAATGAGTACACAATATACCTAGTACAGTATCGATATTTATGCATCCCTTGCCTTGAATACTTTGAATTGATGTGATTTTTGTAGTAATGCTCATAAATCATGCATAACTGGACACAACTCTTATTTATTTTTGATTAAAATAGTCTTTTTTGTGCTTAACTTTCAAATGCATTATTAAATATAAAAGAAATTGATTTGCATTTCGCTGTAACTGTCCGTCAGATTGAGGTGACTCTGGACAACGTGTTCAGCACCGGTATGTTAGTGGAGATCGAGCACTCGCCACAGAAGTACTGGTTGGCCACAGTTGTCGGCGCCTTCGGACAGCTCCTGTCCCTCAAATGGGAGGGCGCGGAGGCGGAGCCAGACTTCTGGTTCGACCTCAAGAACCGTAAGATATTTCCGGTCGGCTATTATCGAGACAAACGCGACTTCAAGATCGAGCCGCCGCTGAACCTGAAGCTCGAGACCAAGAATATAGTGGACGTAACCGTCAAATACTTCTCGAAGAATCAGACATCAGTAGCCAATTGTGTCAAATTGAATCTTTTCACCAAATATGGGTTCACCAACTTATCCGACATATTCATCGCCGACACGGCGGTCGTGGAGGTGTCCCACGAGTTCGAGCCTCACAAGTATTGGTTCGCACGGGTTGTCCACAATTATGGCGGACGTCTGGCTCTCCAATGGATCGAAGCACTCGATCCGCAAGAGGTTTGACGCAAATTCTGTGACTTTAATGATAATTATGTCTATAAATGCCTTATTTTGTTGGATTCTGTTCATTGCATACGAATAGGAGGCCAAAGACGACAATAAAGATTATTTTTACCTGTATTTCTGTAATCCACGGATCAGTTACTTGGGTTACGCCAACTCGAGAGCTGCAGACGACTTCTTCTACTCGACGCCTAAACAGTCCATTAATAACAGCGAAGAGATAATTGACAAGTATTTGGCTGAAAGCACGTCAGAACTGAACGAATTCATCAAAACGGTTATACTTAACGCCAAAGAACTTCAGCCAAAACTGTATAAAACTGGTTGTTTGGAACAAATGCGAGTCAAAGACAAAGTATTGATATTTCCCAATAAGCTGTTAAAGTTGTGTCCGGCGAGTGTGGAGAGTGTGGCAATGGATGGCAAGCATGTGGTCATCAAATGCGATTCGGACGACACGATTCGCTTCTGTTATCCCAATCACGACAACCAGTGTTTTCTGCCACTCGGTTGGGCCGAAGAGCATCAGATCAGCGCCGAGTTCGGTGACGGCGGACCCGCTAAGTACGTGAGCAGACATGGCTCCAGAGGTGCGCCCATTGCCATACAGAAGGACTCACGCATTGATGAGTTTGAGATTAATACTAAACTCGAAGTCATTCATCCCAAGGATAAGAATAAAGTAATTGCCTTTTGATATAACTCTTTGACATTCAATATATCTTTATTGAATTGTATTAAAATCTATGTCCAGATATGTGAAGGGATTATAATTAGAGTGACTCCACCACTCATTTGGATTGAGATCGCTTCGGACACCATTACTGTACTGCCCTATACTTCGACAGACATCTACCCTCTCGGGTGGTGTCATAACAATGGCTTAGAAGCGGTTAAACTGTTGACTAATAATAAAAAATCTTCGAAACCTACTAAAGAGGTTAAAGAATCAAAACCCGAGACTAAGGCCGAGACGGAAGTGGACGACGACCCCAACCTTCCCTCCTCTCCTTCAAGTAATGCTTACATTCTTTGGTTTAATTTTAGTTAATTATAAACTAATAATTTCTGTAAAATAACTAATAATTGTCTTATCATTAGTGCCGTCATCGCAGTCTCAGTGCAGTTCCAAGTCGTGGTGTCCGCGTATATTCATAAACCACAAGTGTTTCACTGGTCCGGCGCTCTCGAAGTCAAAGATCTGCGAACTGCCCCAATATGTGGGTCCGGGACCTATCACTCTAGTGTTGCAAGAAGTCATCTCAAAGATAATACAAGTGGCATACGTTCCCAACCGAGTGCTCAATGAATTAAGTTCTCTTGGCTTTGAGGAACTCCTCAAAAAGAAAGACATTAAGAAAACGGACGAAATTATGTTTAAAGTAATGGTTTTGTTATTTGAGTTATACTTTGATTTGATGGCAATTCATTGATTTGTGGTATATTTCAGGCCAAATACCAGAAGCGCACATATCGTGACGACGTCTTAGTGGCCAGAAATGCGGATCAAGTGGAAGAATATTGTCGCTGCGTTTGCGGTCATCTCAAGTGTTGTTATAATCTGTT